AAAGTTGGTAAAATTCGATGCAGTAATAAGCAAGATAGCCTTCAGGTGTAGCACCCCCCCCCCCTTAAGGCACAAACATGTAAATTTGTAGTTTCTAAGGACTTTCAAGCTTTGAAAGAAGTCGTCAAAGTTTGGCGGCCATTTTATCGTCAATTTTACCCCGTCAAGACACATGCAAAATGTCACTTTCTGTTGTGGTTTCTATCTGACCCAGCAACCCATTGTAATCATCCTTATGAATATTGCTATTGTTATTATTATAATTTTTTGTGTAAAATTATGATTATTATTATTTTATTACTATTATTAGTATACAATATATAACAACGATCATAGAAGTAAATCTAAAACAACCCGCTTATTTAAGTTTGCAGATGACCCCGCTATTATTGGGTTGATAAACCTTAAAGAAGAAGAGTATTTTGGAAAAAAAATATGTATGTTTTTAAAATGGTGCAATTCAAATTTTCTCAAACTGAACATCTCAAAAACAAAGGGAATGATTTTTATTTTAGAAGAGAAAAACCAACAATCCCACCACTCGTAATTGAACAAGAAACAATTGAAATCAAGGATTCATTCAAATATCTTGGTATTATAATCGACAATGCTGAAATAAAGTCCAGCATTGGAAAAGCACAGGCTGCTTTCATATCTATGAATAGGATTTGGAAGACCAGAGATATCTCACTTCGAACAAAGCTGAGGATTTACAATTCAAACGTGAAGTGGGTCCTGTTGTATGGGCGTGAGACTTGGAACGCATCACAGACTTGCATAAAGAGGATCCAGGTTTTCTTGAAAAAGGTGTCTAAGAAAGTTACTGAGGATCAGATAGACAAACAGGGTCACCAATGTGGAAGTGTTAAGGAAAACAAGACAGGTCCCAGTCAGAGATGAGGTAGGAAGAAGGCGGTTGCGATGGATTGGACATATTTTCAGGAAGTCAGGTAGACGCATAACAAAGAAAGTTTTGGATTGGAACCCACAGGGTAAGAGATCAAGGGGAAGACCGCGTGGAACCTGGAGAAAAATTACAGAAATCGATGTACAGAAAAGTGGGAAGACATGGAATAACATCAAGGGGCTAGCCCAGAATAGAGAAAGGTAGAAGGTGTTTGTTCGTGGCCTATACCCTGGTGCAGGGTGAGAAAGGCAATGATGATGATAATCGACAACAAATTAACATGGCAAAATCACGTAAACGATATCGTTAAAAGGGTCACTCGGAGGCTGTACTTTCTGAAGAAACTTAGGTCTATCAATCTGATTCCATTCATCCTTCAAATATTCTATACAACCACAATAGAAACTTTGATACATTTTGGGATCTGTTGCTATTGTGAAAATGGTATGGGTTTATCGCCACTATCTTTTTGCTATTGTAGCAATTTGGAAGAAAACAAATCATAAAAATAAACAAGTTGATCAGAAAGGCATAAAGAACAATTGGTAGAAACCTAAGTAACTTTGAATATCTGCACTAAACAAATGTTCTTTAAAAAAATCGGAAATAAAGATAAGTGCCCATAGCCGCCCACTGACATCGAAATTTCAATTAGTGACCCACAGTAAACGATACGTTTCCCCAAAGAGCAAGAACAGACAGATATAAAAATTCATTCGTATCAACTGCAGTGAGGTTACTGAACATACAGTGCTACAAATTAAGCACACACACACACACACACACACACACACACACACACACACACACACACAGAGAGAGAGAGAGAGAGAGAGAGAGAGAGAGAGAGAGAGAGAGAGAGAGAGAGAGAGAGAGAGAGAGAGAGAGAGAGAGAGAGAGAGTTTTTACGGAGCGGGCTGTTTCAGGACGTGAGACATGTATTTACTAACGTCATGCCTTGTTGTGCGTATGCGTGAGTATCGAGTGCACCTAACCGTTGTACCAACCACTGCCAATGTAAACGACCCAGAGTTTTCCCTGCATGACGAATAAAGATTGTCATTGTCATCATTATTGTCAGTATCATTATATTAATTCTTCTTCTTCTTCTTCTTCTTCTTCTTCTTCTTCTTCTTCTTCTTCTTCTTCTTCTTCTTCTTCTTCTTCTTCTTCTTCTTCTTCTTCTTCTTCTTCTTCTCCTCCGTCTTCTTCTTCTTCTCCTCCGTCTTCTTCTTCTTCTCCTCCGTCTTCTTCTTCTTCTCCTCCGTCTTCTTCTTCTTCTTCTTCTTACTATTATATTATTATTATTATTATATTCATATTGTTATTATTATTATTATCATTAGTAGTAATAGTAGTAGTAGTAGTAGTAGTAATAGTAGTAGTAGTAGTAGTAGTAGTAGTAGTAGCAGCAGCAGCAGCAGCAGTAGTAGTAGTAGTAGTAGTAGTAGTAGTAGTAGTAGTAGTAGTAGTAGTAGTAGTAGTAGTAGTAGTAATAGTAGATAAACCCCTCTTTGAGAAAACGGACGATACAGAAAAATAAAAGATTGACTTTAGGAGGAAATAGCGGTGACAAACATGCTAGGTATTGGAAGAAATAGTAGTAGTAGTAATAGTAGATAAACCCCTCTTTGAGAAAACGGACGATACAGAAAAATAAAAGATTGACTTTAGGAGGAAATAGCGGTGACAAACATGCTAGGTATTGGAAGAAATACGGCTTTAGAGTATTCTTATGTTATGAAATAGTTGTAAGAGAAGCTGAAGAAGCTAAAAATGCCTGCAACTCGTAATCCATAATTTAGAACAAAATCGGGACATCTTTATAGTGGATATATACATTATTGTTCTAGTTGGCCGCTAACTTGACCAACAGCTTATTAACTTCGATCAACGATGTTTAAGAGAAAAAAAAGAGCACAATATTGTTCTCTGGGTGTCTGTTCAGAGGTTTTCTTTTTTCATCACTAAAAAATATTTCGCACTTGAACTAAAAAACAACAACAACACCACACGAGAAAATTAAAACAAAGAGAGCGAAAACCAGTGTTATAATTAGCAATAGAGAACTTTATTCCCAGGTCGATTCTCTTGGAAAAAGACAAACACATTGTCATGTAGCCACTCCCCGGAAAAAAGCCGCCCCCCAAAAAAAAACACCAAAAAAAAACGACAACAAACAAACCCAAAAAGAAATAAAACTAAAAAACAAATAATAAACAGCATAACCAAAAAAAAAAAAAAAAACACCGACCCCAAAAAATAAAAACCAAAACCTAACCCACACCAAAAACCAAACGACCAGAAACAACACAATTAAAGAGAAATAAGCCGTTATTTTTGTGTTGTTTGTTATTTCACCTTTTTCTTCTTTACTTTTTTATTTGAACAATAATTTATAAGAAACCTCCTGTTCAAAATTTTTCATTCATGGAGACATTTATATTAAGAAAACATGTTCTGGGTACCGGATATATGGCCTCAGACCTGAGTACTGAAGATACATCAAAACGGAAACAGATACATGTAGACACACACACAAAAAAAGACGACCAAAGAGCTAATGTAATCACTCTGTGTATCTTTCTACGAGGACCCCTTTCACAGAGGCATAGCGAGAGTTGCTGTTCTTATTTCGTTTTATAATGAATATTCTTGGTTGAACATCGAGCTAACTACGGCCACTTACTTGAGTTGTTATTTTTGTATATTTCTATACTTTGTACTGAGGCGAATCAGCATCAGTTTGCTACAGAAATATGACTAGCCTATGAATGAGCTCCATCTGAATTAGATTTGAAAGTGGACAAACAAACCGCTTAAAAAAAACAAAAAACAAGACAAGCATAAAACAGTAACAAGCAAACAAACAAACAGACAGACAAACAAACAAATAAAAAAGAAACAAAAACAAAAATAAAAGGTGGAAAAACTCGTTGATTTACTCTAGGGCAGTAATAAAAAGTGTGCTTTATTGTTGGTGCTGGAAAAACCTTACAAAAACAAATAGACAGTGGCAACATGTGACAGCACCTTGTATGGAATCATATTATAATGGAGAGTTGCCCAAAACATTTGGATCGTATAGACTCCTAAACCACACATTTTCTAAACAGATGTAAATTTAGGTGAGAATTTGCGTGGGATAGTTAATATTTTTGACAAACCTGTCGTTTTGTTTGCAAATAACCAAAAACAGAAAAATTAGTGATTCAACGAAACCGAAAAATAATAATAATAATAAATAGCATTTGTATAGCGCATATCCCAGATCAACAGCAGGCTCTATGCGCTTTACACTATATTATTACCCCAGCAGACCATAGAACATTCCGAAACATTCTCAGCTTCCCGGGAAGCATACAGTGCAAGCAGCTGATTAAGCGCTCAAACACTAACAAACTGACAAGATCTTTCGCTGTCTATAGCCGGGTACCCATTCCCACCTGGGTGAAGTGAGGAAAATTCGTGTAAAGTGCCTTTCCCAAGGACACAACGTCGGGCCCCTGACGGGATTCGAACCCACGACCTTACGGTTGCGAGTCCGAGAGCCTAACCACTAGGCCACCGACGCCACTTTTCACATTTCACCTTTGTTCCGACTGCCTGAAACAACTAAGCAACTATCACAGCTTGCGAGTACTCACGTGTCACATCATTCGAGTCTAGGGTGTGAGGTCATGTAGGCCTGGGCTACAGATATCAAGCCCCAAAATATGGAATGCAGTTGGGAACGAAAGCAGTTTCAGGATGCTAAGACCACCGTAAGAGACGCTGGATTTCTATTTAGCTGGCTTAACATCTAAGAGACGAGATAGAGAGACACAGAGAGAGGAAGAGAGAGAGGGAGAGAGAGAGAGAGGGGGGGAGAGAGAGAGAGACAGAGAGAGAGAGAGAGAGAGAAAGAGAGAGAGGGAGAGAGAGAGAGGGGGAGAGAGAGAGAGAGACAGAGAGAGAGAGAGAGAGAGGAAGAGAGAGAGGGAGAGAGAGAGAGAGGGGGAGAGAGAGAGAGAGAGAGAGAGAGAGAGAGAGAGAGAGAGAGAGAGAGAGAGTGGGGGGGGGGGGGGGGGAAGAAAACAGACAGTCAGACAGATAGACAAACAAACAAGACAGTTTATTATGTGACAGACAGACAGAGATGCTGACTGCTCAAGACATGGGGCACTGGCCTGGGAGCTGATCTAGCTTAAGACTTAGATCCGTGCCGTCACACTTTCCGTCCCGATGTGTCACATTCTGGTACCATGTCGTGAACGCCATGTCGTCACAGGAACACGTGAGAGTGTTGGGCAGGTACAGATGGTTTAGTTTGTTTAAAGCCAACAGCGCCGGGGGTAAACGGACTAAGTGTGTTCTGTCCAGGTCTAGATAGCTCAACTCATGGAGGTTGCTGAAGGCATCGTCTGCGATTGTTTTGATTGGGTTTCCTGTTAAAAACATGTGTGTTAAATTCGAAATGTTGTTCGAAAATTGTAGTGACGGAATTACTTCTATGTCATTGCCCGAGATGTCTAGTTTCAGAAGGGTTGAGGGGAACTCAAATTTTACAATCGATTTGATTTTATTATAGGACAAATATAGACTGTGCAGATTCGACAATTTTGATATATATTCTGGAATAGTTGTCATTAAGTTTACGCTTAGATCAAGATTTATCAATGACAAAGGTAACGAACCCGAAGACGCGGTTGAAATATTGTTGTAATACAGACGTAATTCTTTCAATTCAGTCATGAATAACAGGTGAGGTATTTGAGTAAGGCAGTTTTTAGAGAGATCTAGATAACTCAAAGAGTTTTCGTTGGGTATTAGGGCGTAAGGTATGTGCTCGTGGTCACAGATTCTGTTACCCGATATGTCGAGACCTTCAATACCAGTCAAATAAAACAGAGGGCCGATATTGTCAATGTGATTGTTGCCCATATATAACTTTGACAGATTGCGAGAGATTTTTAAGTCTTTCAGGTTGCTGAGATCGCTTATTGAATTGGACGCCAAATTGAGGCTGGTCAAATCCGGGAAAAACGTAAACATTTCCTGTGGGATTTTCGTTAGGTTGGAGTCTGTGAACACAAGTCTTCTAATGTGACTGGCTGGTGGGTCCAGTGGCTTACTACTCAGCTGACCAAAAGCAACCCCGTATATCTCAAGGGTCTCCAACTTTGGCAGCAACTTGAGCCAGTCTGGAGGAAAGATTGGCGTCGTCAGTTTTGACAGACTTAGAGTTTTCAGCGAGGGTCCAATGCTCGCCAAAATGGTTGTGTTCCATGTGAGAACATGACTACTGTCCCAACGCAAATACTGAAGAGAACTGAGGTCCATCAAGGCCCACGGTAGGGAGGTCAGATTAGTGGACGAGAATATGAGTTTCTGAAGACTTTTGGCAGAATAAATGAAGGCGTGATCTGCGATTGTGGTCAGGGAATGTTCTCCGAAAGTTATATCTTGTAAATTATGGGCCAGTTCCCAGTCATTTATAGCGGCTATGTTGTTACCCTGAAAAGACAGATTCATATAATCAATATTAAAAACAAATACCATTAATTGGAGTTATCGGTTACTCTAACATGTAACAAATGTCAACCTACATTAATTAGCGGCATGAGGTTTAAGACTTGTTCTTAGTTAATTCGGGGTCGCTGATTTCTGAAACGGCTATAGCTTTTGCCTTTCATGTCAAGTTTTTGCTCTTTGAAAAGTTGGCTTTTTATGTAAATATGGCAGAATTCGGGAGTAGTTTTCACACGCTGCGGCCCATTGTTTTATTTAAAACTTTGCTTTAATGAATCAATCAGAGTAACTTGTAGAACATTTAAATGCATGACTGTTCATCCAGAATAAGTAAGTGATCAAAAACTGTTGAATTATGCCAATATTTCTGTGCTGTAAACGTAATAAAACACAACTATATCCCGGCATGTAGCTCAACCACGGTCCATTGTAACCTTCGGTCTTCACAAGAGAATGCCAAAGAATCTTGCAACGGTATTGGTTTGCTCATAAAAACCGCTTTTTGGCGTAAAAACAGGTTTTAGAGGTTTTGTAAAAGTAGTGTGTTTAAAAACGAAAATACAATTTTTTTCCCACACAAATTGACTTCAAATCCCAAGGGGTTTAGTCATCCAGAATTAAATGATTAGAGAACAGTCGATCAGAACCATTGGCTTCAAGACCGACAAAAATAATCTGTTTAACAAATGATATAAAGATAGTTTTATCATAGCAAGAAACAGGAACGATTACAGTACTTTGCAACGTACGAAACGTTTGTCTTCTGTCACGACGTAGCATGAGGTTTGTTACCTGCATTGAGTACCTCTCCTTCGTATCAAATTAGGCTTGATGAAGCAATTCGCGAAAGCCCTGGACTTTGAGGGGAGGGGGGAAATAATTTATATAATAATATATATGTACAGATGTTCCTAATGTCAGTTATAGGAGAATTAGGAGTGATGTTTTGGATAGCACCCCCCCAAAAAAAAAAAAAAAAAAAAAAAAATTGGAAAGCTGATCACAGACTCGATGAGTAACAGTAGAGAAATTTGAGAATCGTTTTTGTCTTTGATAAAACTATTTTTGGCGACAGGAAATTGAAAATCCCAAGAACATGATCAAAACATTGTTATAAAACTTCCTTTTCTTGGGTTGTAGCACAAGCAACAAGTTTCAATTTTAGATATGTTATTTAGATTTATTTTCCTCAAAACTTCAGTGATATTAGTGATGAGCAAGGTGACAGGTGTCTTAAAATCGTTACGATGATGGAGGTGAGGTATCAAAGCCGATGGAACACCAACACAATGGTAGATTACTGTTGAAGTATCCAAAGAGACTGTGCAGACAATAATACAAAAGAAAGTTTCTGTAATGAATATATTGCTTCCAGCTTCAGTTCCTGTACCATTTCTTTATGTTGTACCCATCGCTATTGCGAAATTGAAGATTGGCATAATTTATACGAAATAAAATTTTAAAAAAGCTTGGTAGTCTCACATTTTCCTTTCCTCTTAATTAACAAAGTTGACATTTCTTATTATTACAGCTAATTTAATAGTATAGCGCTAAAACAGTACTTATGTCATAGAGAAAAAAACTTGGCGTGTTCTGTGATCGTACATAACAAGATTGTTCACTCAGCCAAAAACATGTCCGTCGGAAGTCCGCACATTGCTTCAGATGGCGCTGCAGTCTTTGTTTTGAAGCTCTCTTTCGTTTCTGCTGAAGAAGAAAAGGAATAGCACCTCCTGGTGTGCGTAGATCGACTGCTGTTCATCAGCTGTTCAGGTTCGTTTAGTGCTGAATTTTAGTTTTTAAAATTTATTTTAATTACCTCTCGCCTCTCATTCTAAAGTCAAATTAAACGAAGAAAACAGTCGGAAGAGGTTTTTTTTGGTCCATGTATCCATTTTAAAAATGCGTTCTTCCGAAATTTGAATTCTTTTTTATTCAAAATATTCACTTGATTTGTTTTCTCACACAAGTAGGGTAACTCTTTTAAAAAAGGGTTTGCTTTTGCGCAGAGGACGCAACCGAATTTTGAGGAAACTTTTATAATTGGCTCAAAGAGAGGAGTGAACCATCTTGTTATGTGCGATCATTAACGTGTTAGAGCAAAACGAATGCCATGTTTTGTTTCAGCGACCCCTAAATACGATAAATCAAGTCTCAAATTTCATGCCGCAAAAAAGTTACATTTTGTTGGCCAGAGTTATCAGTGGAAAAATCTTATTGTAAACTACTTACGGAAGTTTTGCTTACTATATTAGTATAATTGATTGATAATTAGTATACTGCTTATTAGAGTAATCGATTTCTGTATGAATATAATCAATTGGTAACTACCATATTGCTTATTAAAGTAATCAGTTGTTGTATAAATATAATCAACTAATTGATAACCAGTATACTGCTTATTACAGTTATCGACTACCAGTTAGACACAATCCAATCAAGCGATAGCCAGTTTACTACCGACTGGAGGTATCTGTCATAGAAATTATCGGACACCAGTTACCCAAAATATATTAAGTTGATCGCTGGTGTACAGTTTATTACAGTTATCCGTTCTCAACAATACACTCTATAATCAGTTGAAAGTTAGCAAATATAATGTATTAGAGCTGTCGGTGGCCAATAATGTAAACTGTAAGTAGAGGATAACTATACAACACTTTCTAGTACACACGTTTCACCGCTATATCTCAGTTATCTCTTAACTCAATGCAATACAGAATAATTATGTGTTTAAAATGCTGTTGACCCCCCCCCCCCTTTCCGGTATATTATTTGCCCTGAAAAAGAAACGAGAGTAAATAACTTTGCTAAAATAATAAAAGCAATTTATGATACTCCGGGTATTTGAAGAGATGATGTACAGGGAAGAATAAGAATAGTTGATTTAAAAAAAAAAAATTTTTTTTTTTTTTTGGGGGGGGGGGGGGGTGGAATCATCCTACCGGTAGAAAAGGAAGCGCCGAGCTGAACCCCATAAAGCTGGGTGAGGCTGTAATTATTAGCTAGTGTATCGAATGTTACCTGTCCACAGATAAGTCGGTACCTCCGAATTACAAAGTTCTACCTCCTCAGTGCCTAGTTAAGAGAAATTTGACGTCAACGTTTTTTGAGTTTCATACCATATCAAGCTTTTTCGAATGCGCTTCTTCGAAAATCTCAATAACGATTCCGAATAATCTTACGATTCTAATAGGACATGTGGTTTCTGATCTCGTGGTCTTAGTCACTCAAAACGGCGAAAATGTAAGAACTTTGTTATTCTGGGGTAGCAAATTGGTACCTGTTATTGTCGCTGTCGCATAAACACTTAAGTGCAAATCTTTAGAATTGTTTATTTCTAAACCCGCTCAAAGATCTACCAAAGATACACCTTTCAACAGTTTAATGCTATGGTCAAAGCTTGCAATTTTCTTGCTTTTCATGATTCCTGTTAGGATCAAAGCAAAATAAAACGCACGTAAATAGACTTAAGTGGATAGCTGAAGTAATTGTCTTTTACTTTGATCTACACACCGAAACATAAAGCGTCTGTTGAGTGTAGCCTGTGTCTGCATTCAGAGGCGGCATCTTATCCAGATCTTTATAGTCGCAGTTAATAATTTGGTCATCACAGGAACATAGCTGGGGATTGGACATGCGAGTTGAACATGTTATACCTCACACAAATGAAATTATGCTTCATGGACATAGAATTGTAGAGATAAGACTTCTTAAAAGGTCTAGTATGCTATGGACTAAAGATTTCCTGAAAGTCACACAAAGTGAAGCTTGTAGAAATGTTTCAATCAAAAAAAAAAAGAAAACACGAAAACAACACTAAGGGCGACAGGAAGTCTGTTTACAATTTCAATTGTCAATTTGTAGAGTAAGGAGGGTATAGAAAGTGTGTGTGTATGTGTGTGTGTGCGTGTGTGTGTGTGTGTGTGT